GAGAGCGGGGCCTCGCAGCTGGGTTGTCATTTGTATTCTTGTAGGCTACGGTCAGAGTTCTCACTCGCTCAGTGGAGATGAGTTAAGTGGTTAAGATCTCAGTGACCATGTGGGTGACCTGACTAACCCTTTGTTTTTTGTGGGTTTTTTTTCAGATAAGTGGACACAATGTACCCCAGACCGAGACCAGTTGAAGCAGCCTGGTAAGAAGGTTGTATTAGGTGTTGGATGCAGGATGTCAGTTTTAGCCATAGCAGTCCTTTATCTTGTGCGTTTTTGTTTTTTATTTTCCAGATGGGGCCCAATCAGGCTCGAGGCGTAGCGGCTCAGCAGGGAGACGAGCGAGGTGAGAATTTTACTCCCGAACCGAGTTTGGAGTTAGTTTGAGGATGTTGTCTGTGTGGTCAATCTCTGCATCTATGTTGTAGCTGTTTAATTTTTTTTCCAGGCGATACACAACCCTTTGCCCGTGTGCTGAAGGTGCCGAAGGTCCATCCGATAAGGGGTCAAGCCGAAGGAGCCGAGATAGCCAGGATGAGGCAGTACGTCAGCACCAGCCTCTGCGTCCGTGTTGTCTCACAGCGGCCGTCTGTCCACTTCAGGGTGTGTAGCAACGCTTCGACTTGCAGTCCGATGGTGTTTAGAGGTTTTTGGCTTTGCTTGTGAGCCATCCCTAAATGTTTGAGAGCTCAGTGTTTGAACATTTACCCCTTTCATTTGCAGTGGAGGCCTTGGGAGCAGCTGAAGAGAGAGGAGCCTTCTAGGTGAGTCAGGGAGGCAGCGGGAGGAGCAGGGATTCAGTGCAGCTTCAGAGATGCATTCTAATGTTGTGTCTCACTCAGGTATCTCGGAAGGTGACAGCCACAGTGTCCGATTCCGATCTGGTCTCGCTGATGGTGAGTAGGGAGATCACTGGGGTTTGAGCCCAATGGCACAAAACTGACATATCGCTTCTGGTTTTCTTTCTCATAGGTGACTCGGAGTACTCTCATGATGACAGGAACCTCTGAGCCAGCCCAGCTGCCCCTCTTCTGCATCAAAGATGGATTCTTGTCCCCGGCTCTCTGCAAGATAAGTGCAGGGCAAAGACCCAGAGAGGGGTTGGGACTCGGTGCAAGTGTGTGCCTCACCTGGAGGGATTTTTGAAATTAGTGCAGTGCAATGGGTATTTTGTAACAGGTTATTTGGACACATGGAAGGAAGGACTTACTTTGTATCATTGGATTCACTTGTGCAGGGCAGAGCAGTTTCGGTCTGTGTCACGTCCTCTGTCTCATCCATATTTTGTGTCCTTTGTCTCTTAATTGTGTTCCATGGTGTGTGTCGTCACAGGTGCGGGGTGTCTCACTTGGGGTCAGCCTGGAACTGCTCTGCCCTCCTCCGTGGGTCAGTGGGTAGACAGAATATTGCTCAGAGTCTCCCATCAACATGTCAGTTACCTGAGACAGTGGAGCCGATGGCTGTACGGTCCTGCCGGATGGAGCGGGTGTACATAACTGGTGTGCCATCATTATAGCCGAGTGTTGTGGAGCTGATGGTACTTGGACAGCAGGGCCTCAAAGCTGGGTTGTCATTTGTATTCTTGTAGGCTGCGGTCAGAGTTCTCACTCGCTCAGTGGAGATGAGTTAAGTCGTTAAGGTCTCAGTGACCATGTGGGTGACCTGACTAACCCTTTGTTTTTTGTGGTTTTTTTTCAGATAAGCGGACACAATGTACCCCAGACCGAGACCA